TTTGAGACTATATCTCACTAAGTTGACGAGGCTGGTCTTAAATTTGCAATCCTCCTGCCTCAGTCCCAAGTTTTTGGAATTACAGGCATATGCTATCATGCCTAGCTAGGCAGTGCTTTTCACATCCAGGAATTAATGAAGGATTGATCTTCACAGGCCTGTTGCATTGAAATATTGATTTAAAAAAAACTAATAAGTAGTTTGTAATGATTCATTGAGTGAAAGAAATGTCCAGAGAAGGCATGACTCAGCTGTTAAAAACAGTTGAATCTTGAACTATCCATTGCTTTTTCCTCTGCTAACTTCAGTCCATGGGGTGACTTAGACTCTTTATCTCTGGATCTCTAGGGAATTCTTTCTCTTTTTGAATCATCTTCTGTTGTTCCCTACTCACAGGATTTTTTCTTTATAAGTTCTCAACTTGTTTTTTCATTTCCTTTGTTCTTCCTTTTGATTTGAGAAAATGAAATAAAATGATGATAATTAACTTGGTATGACAAACTGCAAACCAAAGAAATAAAGCATGGTAGCAACAATACCAGAGAACAAAATATATTTTAGTTAAAATTTTCTTTTATTTCCAATTCAACTCAATTACCAAACACAAAGGATGTGCTTGTCTCCTGTATGTGAATAAGAAATGGTTTCTCAGAAATCTTATCATTGAATGTGAAAGATAAAACTCTTAACTCTCCTTGAGAGTTTTGAAAGAATAAACTTGTATTTAATGAATACATCATCATGATATATGCATCTTCCTACCTACACATGAGTGTAACCATTGTGCTATATAATAGAGGGAAGGACATACCAGGTATAGTTGATGACCAGAAGACTTAAATTGGACTTGTGGCTAATCCCAAGTGTAATCTGAGTCCAGGGTATGAGGAAAATTTGTTTTGTTTATAAGATACTAATTCTCAAAGTGTAGACATGGCCTAGTAGCATTAGCATCTGAGCCTTGCACAGTGGCACAGGCCTGAAATCCCAGCGGCTCTGGAGTTTAAGACATGAGAATCCCAAGTTTTAAAGCCAGCCTCAGCAATATCGAGGTGCTAAGCAATTCACTGAGACCCTGTCTCTAAATAAAAATACAAAATAGGGCTGGGGATGTGGCTTAGTGGTTGAGTGCCCCTGGGTTCAATCCCTGGTACAAAAAAAAAAAAAAGCATATTTGAGGCTTTATCCAGACCTACTGCCTCTGAAATTCTGGAAATGGACTCTTGCTCTCTGTCTTAGTGGTTCTGATGGACACTAAATGAAATGAATCCAGCTAAATCCACCAGTGAGCACTGACTCTATGATACGACTGCCTTCCTTGTTTTCTCTCTTTCCTTCAGAATCCTGTTCCAACTTGTAGTACCCACGCTCTTTGAGCTCCAGCAGATATTCCTTATCACAATACTGTAGGATCTGTCTGTCAGTGGATTCAACAGTAATTTTTCATTGAAGAGTTCCTGTGTCTTCTGCTAGCAGTGATTCAGTACCTTATTTTGCAAACAGTTCACTTCCCAGTGGCCTGACTTGCTACTTGTGCTCTAAATGAGTGGTCATACTCAGACAATTCTGATTAATACCCTTGTTCAAGCATAATTAATAATATTCCTCTATTAAGTGCTCTGGGTTAGATGATAAATTATACTATAGTGAACTTATTAGAAATTGGTGTAAGAAGGCTTCACAGGAAAGACAATATTTAGGGCCCAAAAATGAAAGATACTTATTTATTATAGGAAGATGAAACAGAAATGGCAATTAGAAAGGTTAGGCTTAGGGTTAGGGTTAGAGAACAAGAAACCTGAGAAGCCACATATTCCAGACCAATAAGAATGTGAAGCAGTAGACTACACGGCAGGAAGCATGAGTAGTTCAAGGAGGTTGGTTTCTGGTGGAAGTAATAATACAAAAATCTGTTGGCAGAGGAGTGATTTGTGTCTTACCCGGAAAGGGTAAGGGCAAAATTGTTCCTTGTTATTCCACAAAACAAATACATTGAGATTCTTTGGGTTGTTATTAGGAAGAAAGCTAGTATATCTTTTCTTTCTCTTTTTGTTTTGGTTCTGTATATTTGAAATGTTTACTACTCTATTTTGCAACAATTCTAGACTGCATCCTTTTAAAGATCTGTCATTGTTAAAACCTGGAAAGGTCAGGCTTTTTCTGATACACACACACAATCAGTAGTTGTATGACATGGTAGAATAATAATTGACTTTCAATCTTGGTACAGGCATTTAAATTCAGTTTAAAAAATAACAAACTTCACTTAATAATACACTTATACTATTGAGATAATACGGCCTCTTGAGAAGAGGGGTAGAATTGTGGAAATGCATAACTAATATGCTGTGATAGTATTTGTTTAAAAAGTAATATGATAGAGTCTACTCTAAAATGTTCACATGAGAATTTTTACTGTAAGCATTTACAATGATACATTATATATTTAGGGTAGTTTCTAGACTTGGCAAACAGTTTACAAAGTGCATATTACATGGCATTGCTACTTAAACATAAAGAATGCTATTGTGATGAAGTAGCATATTTGATTTTACACAGTAGTTAATGTTTTGTTGTTGTTGTTGTTGTTGTTGAACATTAAAGATATGCTTGGCATTGACAAAGCTTTTGGAAGGCTTTGCCCTGAGCATGCCTATAACTGACCTCATGTGTTACCAGTTACCATTATCTTCGTCATATAGACAACCTGTCAATGTCCTTCTCTTTTTCTGTGTGAACATAATAGATCTATATATTTTCTTTCTTTTTGTTTTAACCATAATTAATATATTTGCTTTTTCCCCTTCAGTCTGGAGAAATGAATTTTAAGAAAATAACCTTCATTATTCAATTAACTGTTGCTTTATCCTAATTATTAATTTGTTACATTTCAGCATTAATAGCTCCCTGGAAAAAAAAAGAATAATTAATTTCCTATACTGTTCTTTGTTTAAATTCCCAGAAATAATTATCAAAGCATTTATTTAGTTAAATATTGTTTTTTGAATACAAGTAGTAATTAATACTGTTTTAATTTAAAAAATAATCTCTAACAAAAATAACTAACTAGAAGATGGGTTTATAGATGTGTCAATGATTAAGAAATACGTGAGGAGATAGTATTTTTTTTAGTTACCACATATTGTCTAATTTTTGTTTCACTTTTTTTGAACAAAAGCATATACTTTAAATTTCATCTTATATCTACATATGTATAAAATTAGCATATACAAGAATTTTATTTTAGTCAGCTTTTGCATTGCCGTGACACAAACAGCCAACAAGAACAACTTAGAAGAAGGAAAATTCATTTGGGGATCACAGTTTCAGAGGTTTAGTCCATAGATGGCTGACTCTAATGCTCTGGACCCAAAGGAAGACACAACATCATGGGGGGAACACATGGCAGAGAGAAGCTGCTCCCTTCATGGCATCAAGGAGGCCAGGGTTGGCAGGGCAGCACTGAGAAGATGAACCGGGGCATCTTCTGACCACCTCCTCTAGCCATGCTCCACCTGCCTACAGTTACCAACCACCATTCTATCCATTCAAACTAGGATGGACCGATTAAGTTCCAGTTCTCATGATCCAATCATTTTGTCTGAATATTTTCTGCATTAGTATCAACTTTTGGGGGACACTTCATACCCAAATTTTAAAAAACATGTTTTTTAAACTTATAAATGTTTATTTGCAACTAACTCTGTTTCCTTAATAATTTTCTGGCCCTAAAATTATGTTTGTTTGTTTGTTTTGGGAGATGAGTAAGGCCCAGAATGTAAGAAAGTAACGTGAAATATTTTGTAGAAATAGCTAAGCCTTATCCAAGTCCCAGTCCTGTCTTTTAGTTTAAAATAGTAGGCTTTATAATCACAGGTTTATCTTTACTCACCAGCTTTTAACTAATCAAAGTTTAAAATACTTAAATTAAGCCATGACTACTGCTTATTATAAATCCTTAAAAAACATATTTCCCCCTTTAAGAGGAGATATTTTGGGGTTAAAAGACAATTTGTGATATTTACTAGATGAACAGTAAATAACAGGCTCTTCCAACAGCCATCAGTACTTACCATTTTTATAGTTTTTGTGTTTCTATATGCAGCTCATGATTTGCAACTCATTTTTTATATAACATTTTTTTTCCTAGTTTTAATGCCCTGAACTTTAAACAAAAAGGGAATCCCACACAACAAGAGATGATAATTAGACCACAACTCCATAAGCCTGGCAGTATTATAGATGATTTCAACATACCCTTTTTCCCTTATTTTGTTTTTTATTTTAATATCCGTATCAGATGAAGCTTAACATCATTAGTTTTGCTCTTAGTAAATCCCTAGGTATAAAAGCAATGCAATCTACTGTTTCTATAAACATATTTACAGCCTTAAAATTGGACCCAACTTTGTCCTTTTCCTTTGCAATATGTTTTCAGGATAGCATTACATAGCAATTCTTGAGGTGCAATTTTAAGGAGTTGTGTGGCTCTGTCTGCAATAATTCTAACCTTGCAAGGCTGACCTGAAAGTAGTCTCAAAAAAATTTGAGCTTGGGAATATTTTTTCCACTTCTGTTACTAAGTCTAATTCAGAGTGAGACATTATCATGCCTGCCTATGTTCTTTCAATAACTGAAATGTAAGAAATAAATATATCAGTATGGATAGACCTGCTTGTGCATGTGCGCCAGAGACAGAAGCTATTCTAAAGTACTATTAAAATCAACTCACATTTGCAATATACCTTTAAATATGTTCATTTTCATTATACGAGTAGTCTACAGAACATTTAAGAAACAGAATTTCAAGAAAAGGAAATTCTTGCAATGTTCTGCCATTAAAGGAAAGGCACATAAAATATGACTAAATAATGAGCGTGACACTACATCTTAGCTTCAAATCACCTTTACCACTGCACTTATTCTTTTCTAAATGCAGCTTTATCATTTTCTGCAATTACCATTTTCTGAGTTGAAGCTCACTTTCTTGTACTTTGTAGGTCAATTTCTTCTGGAAGAAGCTCGCCTCGTAGAAGCAGCAGAAATGGCAAAAAAAGCAGCTGAGCTGGATAGTACAGAGTTTGATGTTGTCTTCAATGCTGCCCACATGCTCAGGTCAGATTTTGCTACTAAACCTTAAAAGACCAATGCCCTGCTTTTAATAAAATAATTATACTATTTTTTCATATCATACTATGCATTCTATATTGTAAATGTCAATCAGGCTGCAGATCCATGAGAAAAGTAGAACTACTTTTTTTTTCATTATAGTCTAGTGATCAATGCGCATGGCATATGAGCTCTCAGTGTTCTGAAAATCATTGAGGACTCCCTCCCCAACTTGCTTTCCCTTCCCTCCAAAATTACTGGTCAGAAAATACAAAAGATAAACTGCAAAATTGAATTGAATAATTGTCTAATTAAATGTCTCCACAACAAAACATATGTCAATTAATCAATTGCATCTGCATATTTGTGTATTTGTATTAATTACTATTGAATATGGCATGTGGATGCATTTTAATGTGTTTGATAGTTGGAAGGATTATCAAATACAAATATGCATATGACCTATGAAATACTTAAAATGGCCCTGTAATCAGTACTATTGCTGTGCTGTGAAACAATACATTTTCTAGACCATTACTGTTTCTATTTTCAGAGGGTTATTACAGAAGCTAATTGCAATAGTGAAAAAATAAAAAGGCACATAAACTATTTTTGTTGTGAATATAAAGAGAGACAGTGCATCCATAAGTAGTGTTTTAGGTTAAAGGAGGATGCTTTAACAAAACTCAAATGATTTATATAGTTTTTTAAAAGCAGTATTTGCTCTGTTAGCAATATGTGTACTCCTTTACCCATATTCTTATTGAATTTCATTCCATTAAATTCCCCCCCACCACCAAGTGCTTCATTAAGTGACACTCATGCTATGGTGTTTGTGCTTATCTTCTACTGATGGATTTGTAATTATGTAGATCATTCTTACAAGGTAAGAAAGATAGCAGAGAAGTTGGTTCACATTTGGGTGATTTTTAAATGAGGACTTTTGATCTGAGGAGTAGCTCAGCAGTAGAACATGTGCTTAGCATGCACAAAACCCCGAGTTTAATTCCCAGCATACATACATAAATGGCTTTTGGAAAAAGTAGAGGAACTATTTTTAAAACATTTACATTGAGATCATTACACAATAACATGTAGTTGTAAGATATAATACTCTAGCTCACATCTTATGTGGGCAAGAGTATGGGTATCCCTTGGAGGGATGGGTCGGTCTGCTAAATAAAGCTATGAAAGTAGTACCATGAAATAAACGCAAAAGACCAGAAATGTTTTTTAAAGAGCAGAGGCAGTGACCGGTTAAGCCAATCGGTTAAGAGGGGTAAGGCTTCTAACAAAAATGGAGCCCATGCATTATGGTGATACAGATCAAAAGGGATGGGTAGGTATAAGATTTCAATGTGGGAGGGGTCTTGCCTGGGTGCTTGCTTCTTCAGGAAAACCAGGATATGGGTAGGGGTAAGCAGGCTATTTGGCTCTTAGCGGGTCATTCCCTTCTCTAAGGCTGTGCTTGAATGTGAGCTATGACTCAGAACAGGGCGCCAAGGTGAATTGGGCATTCTCCAATCTGTGGATTCCGCCTGGGAGTTCCCAAGAACAGGCTTCCCTGCCTAATGGCGCCAATGTTGCTCAGTCCACACACTTCTCATAGATGGTGTCCCACATAATATAGAGAAATCTCCTGTACCATTTATCCAGCTTCATCATTGATAATATCTTACGAAACTACAGCATATTATCTCAACAAGCATATTGATATTTATTCAGTCCCTGACTCTATTGGGTTTCTCCAAGATTTACTTGTACAGGTGTGTGTTTAGCTCTCCACAATTTCTTCATATGTGCAGGTTTGTGTGTCCATCATCACAGTCAGAATACAGTATAGTTCCATTGTCACAGATATCCCTCATGTTATTTTCTAATCACATTCTACCCCTTTCCCTTGTACCCCAGGAACCAATATTTAAAGCAAATTTTGTTGACTGTGTTTATCATTTGAGAATATTATTAGACTGTATCTTCAGGGCCTCTTGCTTAGCTTTTTGTTAGTTTAAATAAGGATTTTAAAGCCTAGCTGGGAGTTGGAGGTACACAATGAGGTTGCAGTTGGATGCCTTCACTCTGCTGTTAGTATTTAGCATTGCTAAGGCACTTGTTTTGATGATGACCCCCCAAAAAGTTGACACCTATACAGAAAAGTCAAAATTCAGTTGATCATTAGTATCTTTATAAAATGAATTATAGTCAATCTGCAAGAACTTTCAATGCAAGGATAATTTTTACAAAATACTGTCATTCTTATGACAAGGTTAGGTGATATGGCAGGGAAGAGGACTTTTTGTTCTTCATGAATAAAACAGTATGCTTTTACTCACAATAAACCATTTGTAAGGATGGGAAAGCACAAGTTTCTGTAGACTAATTCATCTTACTTATTATAAGTATTTTCATCAACAGATTATTTTTGTACATATTAAATCAGTATCTGGAATTCAAGGTCTACCAATGGAAACCCATTATAAGAATATTACAAAAAATGTCCTTGTTACATCCATCATTCATAATTTTTTCTGACTTACCACAGTTTTAGAAAACAGTGGAAAGTTTTTGTTACGTGTTGGAGACATGGAAATCTTTAGGATCTATTTTTCAGGACCTTCTTTCCAGCTTTCTGCAGTCTGCATTCCTCATTAAGTTTCAGTCACTCAACGCCCTCCTATATTGACTGCACACGTTACCGTAGCAGCCTGACAATGATATCCTACACAGTTTGGTGGCAGTCCCCATGACTAATTTTATGTAGCTTTTCTACTTTTCAGCTCCATCAAATTCAAATATTTCTTCAGTGTTTACTATGCAAGCTGAACACCCATCTCTTATCAGTAAAGAAAGTTCAGCACTTTGTTTGCTGAAAGGATAAGAAAGGTTTTTGTATCTCTTAATGTAGTTTTATCAAAATGGTTGGCTATCAAAATTTTGTTATGTATGTTACATATAGTTTCCCCTGCAACTGCCAAAGTCCTAAATTGATTTTGATAGTCATTCTTCCCTTGAGAGCTCAGATCTTTTGAGAGATTTTTAGAAGACAAAATTGGCAAGGTTTAATAACCAGTTGTATGTGAAGAAAAGGGTAAAGTCCCCCCCTTTTGGATTTGGTTAGCTGGATCAATGGTTTGTCTGATGTTCCAAATCAGTAATTTAGAGACAGCTTATAGTGCAAGATATGGTTCCACCATACTGATTTAACTTCCCTTTTTTGGCTGCTTCTTATTGAAATAATAAAAAAAAAATCTATTAACAAGGGAGGAGAAAAATTTGTTCATTCTAATTTTTTTTTTTTTAAGTGACTGCCTCTGGATATGACTGATGGAAAGAAATGAGGGCCTGAGGCTTGCCCTCCAGGGGCATATCTTTATCTGATTGGGACCTTCAAAAGTTTTGATATTTGAGAAGTTTCTGACAGAACCATTGTAACTCGCAGTAATACCCGAAGAGCTTTCTCTGTAGAATAAGCTTTAAGTTATATGATTTGAATTAGGCATTTCAGGTAAGGATGACAACTCGGAGGTATCAGAGTTAGGCTGCTTAGTGAAGCACACTGACTATAAAAACTGAAGGGCCTTTTAGAACATGCCTAGTTCCTGTTTCAAGGCGATTCACAAGAACTCTAGGAGCTATGGAAGTAGTAGTAATGCTGGTCACCAAAAATTTGTCCCAGAACAATAGGATTGTCGTCTCCCCGAGTTCTCTGAAGTTGTAGACCTGCACAGGCCTTCCTTAGGATGGCATGTGTGTGAATGTGATGTATGTCACAGATGAGCCAAAGGTACAAGAGTGAGCACTCTTCCCTTTTTCCTACTCGAAGACTAGAAACTAGAGGAGTCAAATAACCAAAAGTAACAGAAGTAATCTAAGGGACCCAAGCCTACCTTCTTACCTGCATAGGTTGAATGAGTGAGAAATAAACATTTTTGGTCTTAAGTGAGATTATAATGTGCTTATTACCACAGTAGAGCTTAACTTACCCTGACACAAAATATATCTGAAAGTAAAATAAGTAGTTGGAAAGTGGGACTTTATAACATTGGAAAAGTTAACTAAAGAGTAATAGGATATTTGAAATTATATCTGCGACAGAAGCAATGTACAATTCTTAGACTGATAAATAGAAGGTGTCCATGTTTCCCCAACACTCAATGGAAAATCATAAAAATGTGAAAATGATGACTGACAGATTCAAAGACTGGAAAATAGAAAACTCACTCTTGTAACTATATGTAATTACACTTAAGTATATATACATACATATATGTACAATCATATATAGTATGTATACACTCATGTGTTTATATATAAATCATATAGCATGTATAGTTTTATATAAATATATAGTATCTACTTAGTATGTGATATATAACTATATTTATGTATATATGTATTAAATATTGCATATAGCATATATATATATATATATAATTTTATTTGTCACATATAAGTGTTAATAAAAGAAATTTCTGAAGGAGGGAATGGATCAAATAAGCAGTTATCATTAAACAGGGAAATTATTCTAAGGCAGGATGAAAGCTTTCAATTACCATTTGAAAGCAAAATTGATGAAAATAGATCCATTCCTAAACTGCCCGTCTTCTAGTGGTCACAGATTTTTAGATGCAAAGTAAATAATCCAGTCTGGTCAGATTAAGCAGAAGCAGGGTAGATTGAGGAGTACCGTGTGGCCCGCAGATTCTCTTTGGGGGCTTGGGAGCTCTACTGGACATAACCAGGAGCAATCCCCAGCCACCCAGCTTTCCCCAGGCCTCAGCAGCTTTTGCAGTCCCAGAGCTGTGCCACCATCACCCATGAGGAACCAAACAGAGCAAGTGCCACACATGTTAAAAGGCGATTGTCCGGGGCACAGTGGCCTCCCATAAGCAGACTTCTGAATCCCATTCTCTGGAGATTGCATCTGAGTTTTGGAACTTGAGTCATGTGCTGGAAGAAAGTTGGACAATGAAGGGACTTGGGGCTTCTGCCTCGCTTGGGAAGGT